CGACAAATGACGGAGAATTCTGGGAAGTCATTATCGCCCACGTGCTCAAGGAACACGATACATAGAAGAAGAGGAGGGTTTTTTTTAAGTTCCAATGGAGATCAAGTAACTGAAATTCAACCTAATACAGAATCATTTTCCTCAGTGCTAGATATACATTTTGTATTTTCTCGCAAGTCGTTCTTGGCAGCTTTCACTAGAGATCAAGTGGCAGCAAGTCTCCCACAAAGAGATTATTTTTGCAGTTTTATTATTAATATTCGTATGTTTATGCAAGAGCAAGACTCTGTACCATCTTGGCCTCAATTTTTCCACTAACTTGAAGTGGAACAACTACATTGAATCAATAACTGCATCGACTGCAAGAAAACTTGGGTTACTGTGTCATGCTGGGAATCTTTTTCTCATCAAAATTCCTATTGCACACTTAAAAATCTACTATTCGTCCGTGCATTGAATGCTACTGCTATATCTGGCCCGGTTCGTCAACTGCACATGTAGAGATTCCTATCAAAGTCCAAAGATGAATCCCAAAGATGAATCTGGAATGTAATCGAGCCTGACCTGGTATATCTGTAGTGGACGCCTACGTACACCACGTACACAAATTACTGAACAGTAATTGGACAGAAAATAAACAATACCTTTTGTACAGACAATTTACGCATCGCACGAGCCACATAAAAATTTCTCGTGCTTTTGCTTCACCAAACTAGCTATAGAAAAAAATCAACGATTGGTCGATTTTTGGCCAATCACATTAAATGACACTATCTTCAATATGCTTCCCGCGCTCGTTCCTGGAGCCACGTTACATCTATAAAAAAAATTAGAAATTAAAGAAATAACTTCAGTAGATTATAAATTTTCACAACCTAAACCCCTTACGTGTATATTCAATTTTGTACTCACAAACACACACAAATATAAACTACACTCACACAACACAGTGTAGTGCCTGTTTACAAGCCAAGTGAACTATTCGAACTATATCATTCTTCTGCACAAATATTTCAACTTTCAAACTCAAACATCAAGCATTCTTAAACTACCAACAAATTTAAACAAAAGACATTATTGCAACATACATTGGTTCTTCACACAATACAAGGGAAAGCACTTCGTGTGACTTAATCTTTATTGTTATTAACAGAATTGTATGTATATGCTTATTTTCAATACATGTTTACTCGTTGATTTTCATTGATCTCTCGTCATTCATTCTTGTGTTTTGTCAAAAAATTCAAAGTGGAGTGTTAATGTAAAAACGCAACCTTTATCAAAACCCCTTCTGATTCTTTTCTAACCAACACTATTTACTACCCCACATATCGACTTATGTCACTTTCTTACTGACGTGACGTGGCTTCCCTCTGTCCTTTCTACAAATACTTTCATGGCAACTGCTCTGACGAGATTTTCCCCTGTTGTCCCGACTACATGAATTTAAGCCTGTTACAAGATTGGCATCTAACTTCCACCCTTTTTATTATTGAAATAGCTAAATGCAACCGACACTTCTACTGTAAAATTTTACGAATTCTTGCGATTGTATTCCAAATGGAAACATTTAGAGAAAAAAAAAGAAAGAAAATAAAGAACAAATTTGTGGAGAAAACGTCTTACGGTTTCGATTCTTGGACCGTGAAATTGTATTTAGTATTTGTTGGATTCCAATTGGCGAAGTCATTCTTGAATTTTCTAAGGCTTCAAGACGAGCAAGGTATCATACGAACGAAGAAAAATAAAACAAAAATCCTTAAATGTAATACACCACACACACTCTCTCACACACACAAATATATATATATATATATATATATATATATATATATATATATATATATATATATATATTTAAGTTATGAAAAACTTAGTAATCCATATGGGTAGTCCCAAGAAGGATGAAAACTTGAGAGCTCAATATAAATCCAAAGTTAATAATTAAAGAAAAACAGACCGCTTTAAGTGGTCTGTTTTTTCTTGTTTTTTATATATATATATATATATATATATATATATATATATATATATATATATATATATATATATGTATGTATGTATATGTAATTTATTTTTGTGTAAAAAATTGAGAGGCAGTGTGCAAAATTTTGGCATGAGATACACAGAAGTCAAGACCCATTCACGTCTACACACAAAAAGCTACCGCGCTGAAAACTACAAAGAGATCGCCCTAAACAATGGCGTTACAGTTCACAGTAAGAACTCAATTCTAACTATCCACTGAATCCATTGTTAGTACTAAGAAGCGCGCATACACGTAATGACTTTTTCACACAAGTTATATCCGTTTTCGAAAAGAAAAAAACAAACATAACAGCATTTCACCACTTTTTCCCACATACGTACGTAAATTACATTTATTTATTTCTCATTAACTGGACATAAAAAAGGAAATAAAATAAAGTTAAATTCATAAAACAAATATTCAACACAACTAATATTGCCCGTAACTCATGTTAGTCTCTCAGGATTTTTATTTAACTAAAGTTTATTACTTACCTTATTCGGACTATTCTCTTCATCTTTGTCGCCATATTTATGACAACGTTTCGGCCGTTGAACACTCCGGGCTTCTTCAGGTGGTTTGAATGTCGAACTGAACTCTTTATTTCACATGCAGAATGTCTCAAGAAATGGACCCCATTTTTTGTAGAAAGGTCAAGGTCCGGCATGCAGCGTAGATTGCAGTATTATCCGGTTGGAATAACCATCCATTCCCACACAAACGCTGGCCCGCCGTGAGCAACGATGCTTTTTGTAGCATGATAATATAACCAGCCGCTGTCTGACGACTCTGCACGACCTGGAGCTCCATCGTCCCTCTGTATGAAAAGGCACCCAGACCCTCCACCACGATGACGTGTGGAGAAAATTTCAGGAGTCATGTTTTTGTTATGCCAATATCGTTAGAAGCCATCAGGACCATCTAGATTTATTTTTTTCTCATCAGAAAACAGGACTTTCGTCCACTTCTCAATGTCCCATATATATATATATATATAAGAAACACACAAACATACATATATACATACACATATACAAACACACGCATATATATAAAACACACATACTGTTATGGTCCAGGTCCCTGTACCACGGTGATAGTCCAAGGTAGAACCAATAAAGAAGAAGTCGAACACGGATATGGAATAACACAGATATATTACAAACAGGAATATATACAGAGAAGTAGAAAGTGTTAGTACGAACAATCAGGTTTAGTAGTAATTGTCTGAACGCGACTCTGTTTCGGACTGCCTCTGACTCGACTGACTGATTCGCTCGCTCTGACTGACTCACGGACTTCTGACGGACCTCACTCCAGACTTCAGACTGAACAGTATTTAATCACCCCCGCACGAGGGCATCTTGTGGTACAAGGCCGGTTTAACGTGGGATCTCCGATCCCGTGGGCTCGGCCAAAAATATGCCCTTTGAACCCGCATAAACGGGTTCAGGGTCGGTTTACCTCCCTGAAAGAGACTCCACCCTTCGGCGTAGCCTCGTTCGGTTTCCTCCCCGCACAAAGGCAGAGAGTTCAACCGATCAGCCGGTCAACCGGTCGCCCGACTTCGGACTGAACAGTATTTAGTCCCCCCCCACGAGGGCATCATGTGGCACAAGGCCGGTTTAACGTGGGATCTCCGAGCCCGTGGGCTCGGCTAAAAATATGCCCCTTGAACCCGTATAAACGGGGTCAGGGTCGGTTTACCTCCCCGAAAAAGACTCCTTTCATGTAACTACACAACTTTTCGCCTTTGTTTATCATCAGTTGCTTTGATAAAGTCACATAACGAAACACGTCGGAAAGGATTAAGCACTATTTTCCGAGTATCTATTTTATCCAATTTGACTTCTTTACAGATTTATTCCGAGAAATTTAAGATATCTATCTATCTATCTATCTATATATATATATATATATATATATATATATATATAGTTTTGGCGGATAACCTAGAGAAAATAATTAAGGAACATAACAACAGAGTCTTTGACAAGTATAGGGACTCAAAAAACTTGAATACTCACCAGGTTGCAAGTAGTACAACTAAGTATAATGACACGAATAACAACTTGTGCAATTGCAGGCATCCAATATATATGAGGAGGCATAGTGGAGTAATGGATAGCGGCTTGGATTAAGGAATCGGAGACCCGAGTTCGAATTCCAGTCGAATCCAGAGAGAAATAGAGAGAGAGAGAGAGAGAAAGGGTTCATTCACTTACGTGCTAATACCCTTGGGAAAGGTGTGGACTATCTTCTCCCTCCAGCTATGGGTAAATAGCAGGATAGACTGGGTTCTATAGCCTTGAATGGCAACCGGTCTAGGAGAAGGATAACCCTGAATTCAAAACTTGTGGAGTCAACACTCCAGGGTTCACAGTGCACCAGGTCTCTGTATTCGGCTCTTCAAAAAGTGTGGATGATCCTGCACGAAACCTTCACCACTATAATCAATTGTCAAGTTCTGTTGTTGGGCTGTCGGTTTCCTAGGAACTCATCTGCTTGAACCTCATACGTCGAGTTCGAGGGGTGTTGTAGAGTAGTTTTCACAGTGGAAGCTTGTATTTCAATAAGTCGCCCTAAATTAGGTTCGACGTACAAAACGTTAGGAACTTGGAAATAAGAGTTAATGACGCAGCAAATCTAGTTGTGATGGTTGGTACTTCAATGTCAGATATCGACTGACTCGCTCAACACCACTGAGCCGAACTGGCCACTGCTACTACTACTTATTATCTGTGGGAGAGTCCATTACAATAGAATATACTCGTATATATATATATATATATATATATATATATATATTATAAATTGGATATTTGGGCAAGAAACTTACTTTTAGGTTTGTTCAGTCAAACATGAAAATAAATTAACAACACCTAAAATTCAAACTCACTTGAATGTGGTTAAAGCGCTTTGGACGATGAACAACTTTTGCACTCCATTACTCTAACCAAACTTTATTTATTTACAGAGAGAGAGAGAGAGAGAGAGAGAGAGAGAGAGAGAGAGAGAGAGAGAGAGAGAGATGATGTCTATGTCCGCGCTTGCGCCAATATTCACGTTTGTTATTAAGGGAAAACAGATTAAAATTCAAAGAAGGTGGAAATATTTCCGATATTTTGTGGGCGCTTCAAGCTAACGGCCTAGGGTATGTTACGTATCTTTTCTGACGCCCTTTCAAGCCCTAATATATCGACGTGACGTAATGGCTGACAAGGTTCGAATCAATAAGTACATGGTCAGAAATCTTTACCTACTCTTACATTGTTTATGCACCTTGACACGGATCAAACAATATATCCCTCTCTTTTTCACTACATATATACAGGGTGCAATGAATAAATTGTCGTCTAAATTACGCAAAAATGAAAATAAATCTGACATCTCATTTTAACAGATATATTTACAAAAATAACACAAATATCTTGAAATAATGAAGAGTAAAGTTATTCAATACAATCGCTATGGTCAAATAGCTAACACCCAAACTTGTGTAAAAATAGATTTTAATACCAGAAATATTTTGTACTAAAATAATTATTACCAGCAATAATTCTTTAAGGAAAAATTATTATCAGCAATACTTAATACTAGAGGGCACAGAATCCCCAATATGCACTTCATGCCAAGAGAAATTTACAGTGAAACATAAACTGTTAGAGTGGGTAGATTTTGATCTAGTGTGAACAAAATATTACCAAGTGAATAATTAAAAAAAAAAAAAAAACATCCAAGATTGTAAATTTCCTAAAAGAAGATGGATTGTACTCAAAAATATGCGTATTTGAAAAATGGTTCAAATATATATGTATACATAAACACCTTTTTTACCAAACCATCGTTACGAAACTATTTCAAAATTTTGTTAGCATTAAATGACATACTGAGATTGATATGCCATATCTCTCTCACTTCATCTCCCGCTCTCGCTCTCTACCTCTCTCTCGATAACTCTCTCTGTTTATATATATATATATATATATATATATATATATTTCACATTCAGTGTCGGTCTTTTGGACAGGGGTAGAGGCTTATCCGTGTTTCCATGTTTAGAATTGGGTTTCCGATTCCTCAAAAGTCTACTTCCTTTGTATACTTCTAAAATGTCCGCCTGAACCCTGATTTTCGGTTCCTTGTAAAGTCTTTCCCTTGTATTAATTCCTTAATATATATATATATATATATATATATATATATATATATAAGAATAGTAGATTTGGTTATTTATTCCGTCTACACCAAACCTACACTCGTGTATATCTATCTATCTATCTATCTATATATATATATATATATATATATATATATATATATATATAGATAGATAGATAAATATGATAGACTCTCCCGTCGTTTTCGACGTATGAGTGTCTTTCAGTTCAGTTTATGGTTTGTATGAGACAACAATATATATATATATATATATATATATATATATATATATATATATATATGTGTGTGTGTGTGTATATATATATATATATATATATATATATACACACACACACACGGAAAAAACGTATATTTATTAATATATGCTTAATAGCATATCACATTCAGCCTTATTTTTTAACACCAGCACACAATGCGCGATATCTTACACATACATACATATATATATATATATATATATATATATATATAAATTCTCTCTTCGATATATAGCACTCTAACACAAAGCCTGCTTGCCTTAAATGCCTCCTTATCAGCAAACCACTGAAAAACCAGCAATTCTAACTTCAAATATATACATAGGTCTGATCGTCAGCATTGGAAAAATATTCACATTCTCTCTCTAGCCTCAATGAATAAAGATTTGCAAGAAACTTTTTTTTTATTCCTAAAGAATAACAAAGAATAATCAATAAATGAAATTATTCATTTCTTTCTTTGCCTACCAAAGAATTAGTTCAAACATCAAAAGCACGAAAGAGGAACTTCGTTAACAATCAATGCCTCCCCATCTCCATCACTTTCATTAACAATATTTTCATATAAGCCTTCTCTTCTACATCCTTTCACTTTTATCTCTCATTTACACTCTATATATATATATATATATATATATATATATATATATATATATATATGATATATATTGATAGATAGATATAAAAGAGAATTGGCAATGTATATCGATTGAATTTATTTGTCGTCTTTTCTGAATTGTGAATCGCTGTTCACAAACTTGGCTGTTACAGATGTAAAAGAAAACGTTGTCCAAGCTTTCGGCTAACATGAATCAGCTTTGAGGGTGTGAAAAGCAGGGTGAATAAAAGAAAAGCAAGTGTTTTAAGTAGCATTGTTTTGAAACTTGAATCCGATAAATCAAAACGCTGAAAGTGGTGTAAGCAAGGGGCAACGGCAGCGTGTGTCATTTGTAATGGCGTGTATTAACTTTGGATATTTTTTACATCTGCAAAAGGTAAGTTTGCGAAAATTGGTTCGCAATTTACAAAATACGATGAAGAAAATGGATAGGCACATATGTGTATATATATATATATATATATATATATATATATATATATATATATATATATATATATATATGAAGAAATGTAGTCTTATGGTGTGCTATATATATATAGGATAAAGTGCTCAATATCAGAGATAGAGCGTGTGTAAATATAAAAAGTGAACATTGAAGTCAACACTTACAGGCGACAGTCTGTTTCATGCTAGACGCAATCGTCAGTCCACGAGTGCTGTTATTTTTTTCGGTTATTTATATAACGGAAAAAATATATAAATATATTATATAATATAATATAAATAACGGAAAAATAACAGCACTCGTGGACTGACGATTGCGTCTAGCATGAAACAGTCTGTTGCCTCTAAGTGTTGACTTCAATGTTTACTTTTATATTTACACACGCTCTATCTCTTTATCCACTGTTCACTTTGATATATATATATATATATATATATATATATATATATATATATATGAAAACCGGGTCTTATCATCGGAAAAGGGAACATCTTAATCCGTGTGGTCACCTGCCTAATCTATCTATCTATCTATATATATATATATATATATATATATATATATATATATATATACAGAGATATAGATATAGATATATATATTACTTTTATTTTGACAGCTTATTTTCATTTAAGCATGTCTGATTAAACAATTTAGATGTGTTTTTTTTTCTTTTCAATAAGATTCTTTCGTAATCACTTATAAGCATTGTTATTTCAAGATTAAATAGTGTAAGGATGGTACCAAGTTTGTATCTATTCATTTTATTTTCCGAGTAATTTTGATATATTCCCATATCATCTTTAGAGTCATGATGGCTAAAACAAATTCTTTTGTGTGTCCGAAGTATTTTTTTTTACTTTTGTGATTAAATCGTTAACAGTTCCTGTCATGCGCAATATCAGAAACGGTGATTTAATTTTTTTTTTCCATATCGTAAACATTTTAATGTAAAGGACGTAACTGGGTTAAGATTTGAAGTCTCGTTAGCAGGTTATAGTTTACCTGCTATTTTTTTTTTTTTTTTTAAAACTTTTTAGTTTTAACATAGATATTTCTAAAGATCTATATACTATAAGCATTTCAGAAAATTTGCACTCTATTTATAATTAACATTGTTAAGTATTGATTTTATTTTTTTAATAAAGATTGCTTCGAGAATTTGTAGTTTCTGCTTATTACTTTCTTGTTGAATTATACAGGTATTGTTGACTAATATCATTCTAAATTGGGAATATGGACAGGAATATTTTTACAGATTTTATGCAATGGAGGATGAATCATTCTTGTGTAGAGTGAGCCGTCTTGATAGCGTTATTGTAGAATAATCAACTAATTATTTTTTTTTTTTTATTGGAGATGAACTCACTGAAGTGATATTTAAATTGGTATATAGTGTTGGTATTCTGTAATACTTCAATTGGTGGGGAGGATTTATTACGGATGATGAAGTTGGTTGTATTAAATTTGGCATTTTATATAATTCATTTTATTTTTTTACTGGGCTCTGTGGGTGATATATTAGCAATTATGATTTTTTTCTCAGGAAAAATTTCATCTTGTTTATATTTAGAATGCAGCTGCTTACGATATTACGATTAATGTGTTCAGGGTTATTTGAGGAGATATTATGTTCTATTTGATATATATTATAAATTTGTAATAGATCGCCTTATTTCTTTATCACAAATGTAGTTAAGAAAGTCATTATTAATAAGAATGTGTTTAATACCTTTTAGTTCCAAATCTGTTTGTAGATGAGGTAACTTTAACACGGTTTATTAAATTTTGTGTAATTACTATTTTATACTAGTTAAAAGAGTCACTCTTATAAAAAAAGTGCTATATTCCGTGCTAAGGGAATAAGCATATAACACCAAGTGTATAGGTTTATTGTATACAACAAGTACAATATGAAATACGGTACAGTTATATACACAGGCTATATATATATATATATATATATATATATATATATATATATATATATATCCCTTTAAGCAGAAGAATTTTCTTACCACCAGTCCAAGAAAGACATTTGTGTCACCAAAACCCAAAAAAGAGAATGTTTATGATCGAAAAGCATAAGGAAAATTAATTCATTTTAATAATATGTGGAAATACTCAGTCTTTGTCTGAAGAAGGTCGAGAGACCAAAAACACGTGTAGCAAAATTATGGCAAAATATAATATACATTTTTTTTAAAAATCCACATTACAACAAAAACCTTTGCGTTTTAAAATATACACTTTTCTCTCGTTGGAACAACTATAACCTTTATATATATATATATATATATATATATATATATATATATATATATATATATATATCCGTGCTAAGGGAATAAGCATATAACACCAGGTGAATACTAGAAGAAAAGGTTTATTGTATACAACAAGTACAATATGAAATACGGTACAGTTATACACACAGGTCAATCTAGTAGTGAGTGCCACTAATTGGAAGGTCGGATGTGCGTGCGCCGTCTCATTTTCTGTCGAATTTCTCGTAGACAGTAGACTTTATAAGTACTTACTACCGATAGTGCACTCATTCATTGGGGTGACTGGTTATTCCATTACATCACTAAGTGTGTATGAGTGTATGCTAGTAGTTTTTTTTTA